AGCAGTCTTAGTGGCAAAAAAAAATGAAAAAGTGCAGGAGAACAAGGGTTCACCACAAGGTTTAAAAGACAAAACAGGACAAATTAATTCTGCAGGTAAAAGAAGGTAAAGGGATGAACTCAAATCCAATGACAAAACTACCAATAACGAAGGATTGTAAAGGTGAAACTAAGAAAGATAATAAAGAGTCAAATTTGGAAGAAATATTGGGACAAATGGTTACTTCTGAATTTGAAAGATTACAGAAGGAATTAAAGGCAACGAGACAATTGATTGAGCAACATATAGATCCTTGTGCCTCACTGATATGCCTCCAGACCAAACAGGGAGATGACTTAATGGCTAATCTGAAAGCCCTCAAACAGTTTAGTCTGCTTGATACTTGTGAGGAGTCAGGAAGGTCAAAACGTTGTTCTCTTAAATAAAGAGACTAACAAAAGTCAAGAGAGAGAGAGTAGGATGGGTTAATTGAAAAAAAACATGAGAAAATAAATTTATACAGCACAGCAACTTTAAACATCACTTACTGTAGCCGCAGTTTCAATTCACTGACTGCTCGCACTCTGGTTTGGGTAAACAAACGGACACTCACTGCTTCATGCTGATCAGCAAAGGCTGCTCAGAGAGCTTACCCTTTGGTTTCCAAATAAAGTGAAACTGTTTTTGCAGCTAATGATCATGTCCAAACTACAATTGAATCCCTGGTAAAGCTAGTAGTGCAAGTAGTTTGAGGCAGTCGCACAAATAGATCAAATTTCTATTCTCACTTCACATGATGGTCACCAACTTTACTGCAATCATATTAACCAACTAAAGTATCTAAAGAAACGGGAGATTTTCACTTTGTGATTTAGTTCCTTAAGATGCTGACAATGGCTTGTTACACCCTACGGAGGTCGCTTTCCCTCCAGCGACTTCTTCTGGGACGACTTATACTTCGCTTACTCTCCCACCCACAAAGCCGGTCTTCACATTCAATTTCAGCTCGGGGGGGAATAAGTGGACAAGTACAACCCAATCACTCGTCTACTTCACAACAGCGGCCAATACCTGCACAGAGGACAGCGTCTACATTTGCAACTGCACGGGTTTTGTATGCATCGGGTGTGGTAGAGCATGCGGTTACGGGATCGATAGGTAAACATTGTGACAGTTCAAGAAGGAGAAGTGATAGTATTAAGAATTCATTGTTCTGATTTATTTTATGTAACATTTACTTTGTCTATTCCAGTATTTTAGTAATGCTTAAAGCCAGCAGACAAGGATAGAGAGAAATTTGTTGGGATTTCCGATCCCCAGGTTCGAATCATGACCCGACAATCCAGTGAAGGTGTAATAGAGATTTATTGATCAGGGTAATACATACAAAACAGATAGATTAAAAAGTAACAAACTTATACTACCGGTTTTGGAGCAGTCAGCTTTATTAGCCCTTGCACGTCTTCACTTGGCTGGATCTGCTACCTACCTTGCTTAATGCTAGGTTAGTTAAACCATACAGCCTAAGGGTTCTTCCCCCTAGATCCCCCAATGAGGCCCGCCACGTACTCAGGCTTTGCACATGTTGCTCATTTGATCAATTGTGAATTATCTTGTCTGGCACCAGACTTCTCTTCATTTGAAGATAACAGTGCTTCTGATACAGAGCAGCTTTCGTATTGATCCTCAGTGCCTGGCAACTCTTTTCCTCCCACGGCCAGTGCATGTCTCTGATTGGGGAAAACAATTAGTAGGATTGGTAGATGTTTACAGGAGGATAGAGTTGTCGTTCTTAGTTTTGTGAAAGGGATGTATGACTACCTTGGTGTTATCAGCGTTTGACAGCCTACTCTCCTCTCAAAGCTATCTGCTATCTCACTCCGACATTACACTGACTGGTTGTTCCTGCCATTTTGACTCCTATGAACAAAGTTAGTAACTTTAATGAGAGTGAGAAAATAAGATTTTCGGCAGTAAATCCCTCCACATCTTGGCACCCCCCTATCTCTCCAAACTCCTCTGTCCTCACAGCACTACCTGCTGCCTCGACTCTACTGGCTCCGGCCTCCTCCTTGTCCCTCGAATCCTCTGCTCCACCATGCACCGCCATGCCTTTAGCCAATATGCCCCGAAGCTATGGAACTCCCTCCCTCAATTGATTCACCTTGCCCCCTCTTTCTCCACTTTCAGGTTGTGCCTGAAGACCTTCCTTTTCAACCATGCCTATGGTCATCTTCCCCCTCCCCCTGTTCGGCATTGGGCTCCACCATTGGTAAAACAAAACCAAAAACAATAATTAAATTTGTCATTTTCAATCTACGACTGTTTGTGGGACATTGCTGTGCGCAATTGGCTGCCGCGTTCGCCCACAAATATACAGTCAATTCACTTTGCAGTGTGTTCTGTGAAGCGCTTTGGGTCATCCTCCCGACGTGAAAAGCGCTATATCAAATGCAAGGATTATTATTATTATAAATGCTCTGGGACGCCGCCCAGCGTGGAGGGCACTATATAAATGCAAGCTGTTGTTACTTCATGTGATTTTAATAACTCTATTTGAATGGAAACAATGCGACCAGTTTGCGTGCAGGGCCAGGAAGACAACTAAGAAGTGAGAAAACAATGATTTGCTTGGGGTCTTTGGCCAGGCGCCAGATGAGACACCCTTCTCTTTTCGAATGTTGACATGGGATTTTTAGCACCTACCTAAGCAGGAATATGGAGCCTCGGTTAAATGTCTTGTACGAAGGATGGCACTACCGGCGTTGCAGCACTCCCCCAGTGCCGCATTGGCATGGTCAGCAAAGACTACATGAGTTTGAAATCCTTACATGAACTCTTCCACATGGTTATAAGGGCACTAAATAAAAGCATCAATTTTCTGTGTGATTTTGATGACTGCTGTGGGTTTGGAGTGCATTTGCATCTCTTATGAAATGCCTATTACTTTTCACATAACTTCCACGAATGCGAATTTATTTATGGGCACATTTTAGACTCTTGTGATTGGATCATTCTTGTGGTTGTTCACAATGGAGTATGTGTGTGGAATCTTCACTATTTATCCTCTAAAAGTTTCTCTCACTTTCATTAAAGTTTTTTCAATTTTTATGTTTGAAGCTAAAGTCTGGAGAATGAGGAAATTCAATGCTTAAGAAAGTTTTTGCTTCATTTGACCATCTCTGCTCATCCTTTTAACCTCAAACTGTTCATTGAGGGCATCCGTGCATTCGCTCATTAGCAGGTGATGGTCGGGAGGCTAGTAATTGGGGTCGTAGATAAAAGATACTCACAAGAAGAGCTTCAGAGATTACTTTTTCAGATAGAGAGTTGTTGAAATGTGGAATGACCCCCAATACACCATAAATTTACATTTTTCCACCTTTCAAATCAGGCGGATGTCCCAAGGCTCTTGACAGTCCTGGCTTGGCAGACTAGCTGGGGTTGGGAGCCAAGAGGGGAGCGGGAAGATGACCAAAGGCATGGCCAAAGAGGAAGATCTTGAGAATGACCTTAAAAAAGGTGAGGGAGGGGACAGGTCAGAGGGACTCTAGGATGGAGTTCCAGAGAGTGAGGGCAAAAATGCTAAAAGCCCCACCACCGATTATGGGACAAGCAGGGTGGGGAACATGATTCAAGCCAGTGCCTGCTGCGTAAAGGTTGCAGTCGGGTTGATATGGTTTGAGGAGGTCACAGATGGTGGGTGAGGCAAGACTGTGGAGGGATTTAAAAGTGAGGACGAGGATCTTGAATTCAATTCTCTGAGGAATGGAGGAGCCAGTAAAGCCCGGCAAGTATAGAGGTAATAGGCTCATGGAGCTTGGCATGGGAGAGGACATGAGCTGCAGAGTTCTGAATAATCTGCAGGTTGTGGAGGGAAAGTTTGGGAAGTCCGTTGAGCAGTTTTTTCTTTCTTGGTGAGCGAGGTTAGGCCTGTTCACCCCCATTAACCAAATTGACCCAAATTTTCCTCTTCGGGAATGCGGGCTGTCCCCGCAGAATAGCCCCAAACTCTTCTAGGCCCCGAATTGTCAAGGGACATTCTGGATCTGAACCAGTCTTCACAACCACCTGAGAAAGTCAGGTGACCGTATCGCCTCTCTGGCAGCATCGAGCAGAGAGTTGGCCCTGTCAAGCAAGCCTAGACATAATGAAGGCATGGATTAGCATGGACCTCTTTCTCTAAAGTCTTGTATTCAGATGACCCTCTCTTTTCTCCCTACAAACTTTATAAATGTTCCTTTTTTTTCTTTATCTCGCTTTATAATTTCCTATTGATCCATTTTACGTGTAGTAAACGAGCCCAGTCTACATTAGCTCAGGTCTCATATCCCTGAGGTTTGCCCACCTAAAGTTGTGCATGAGTTTGGTTACGTGCTTCTGCTCCAAAGTCAAACTGAATGTTATTGAGCTGTGGTCCCTGCCACCTGGTGGATCAACCAATCCTTGTCTCTGAACTGTGCCTTGGTCATTGACTGAAACAAAGTCAAGAAAGGAAAGGTCTGGGCTCCCTGACACACTGAGTCAGGAAGCACTCATGCACTACATTTACAAGCTTTGCAAGACATAGTTTTGAAGGGCATTTCTTCATTGAATGTTTCCTTACATTTCTAAATATTAAACGCTAAATCTTATCATTTACATTTTTTATCGTTCTTAACTCCTTACCTTTACCTGCCTATCCCTAAACCTCACCAAACCCGTAAACAATCTTGGGGTTAGGTTCAATCCCCAGTTAGCCTTACTATCTCACATCTGGTCCCTGACCTTAACTGTCTCACTCCACCTCCACTACATTGCCTGTCTTCTTACTTCAGCTGAAGTTCTCATTCATGCTTTCATGTTTTTGTCACCTCCAGCCTTGATTTCTACAATGCACTCCTTGCCAGTCTCCCCATCTTGTCAACAGGACTCCATGGCATAAGGCATTATACGAATTCAAGGATATTATTCTTATTGTAGTTTTATTGGTTATGATTTCAGGAAAAAATACAGTAGAGGCACATCAATGTGTAGCTTACCTGACTTGGTTCCCCATTGACAGCAGCCACTTCCTCATTTAACTCTGAAAAGAACAATGAGATTGTATGATCAATAGCAGTAAATTTCAACAATCTTACACCACTTTATCAATGCAGATATGGGATGAATGCTGATAAAGAAGGCCCCACAACCTTTGTCCTCATTCCTCCGTAATGACCTCCTCACTTTTTATCCATTACAACATCAAGCAATTTTTTGCATTAATTCAGGGTTATGGACTCTTCCCAGTGAATTTGTTCAATTTCATCTGTTTCCTAGGAGAAATTCTCTTCTCTTTTCGAACAGTGCCTTGGAACTTGAATGTCCACCTGAACAAGCAGACAGGATTAGTATTTGATCTAAAGCATGGTGTCTCCGAATATGCCGCACTCCCCCCAACACTATATTGGAGTGAGTTCAAAATCCTGAATTTGGATTGAACCAACAACATACAACTAACAACCTGCGCTTCGTCTCCAAGGGGCTAGAATGAATCGTGGCTCCTAGCTTCATTGTTCAGTCCTTTCCTGATTTCATTCCTACCTGTTCCAGTATCTTCACTTCTCCCTGCTCCATTGGCTCCCTATCTCCCAGTGGATTGAGTTCTAGTTCCTCGTTGTCACCTTTAAATCCCCCCATAGCCTCGGACCCCGCCCGATCTCTGCAGCCTCCTACAACCCTACCGTTTGGCCCACTCCTTTCGTTCAGCAAACACTGTAGACTGCTTTATGTTCTCACCGTACCTGATCCACCATTGGCAGGTGAATTTTCAGCCATTCTACTCTATGGAAATCCAACCTTCAAAACCAGGGTTATAACAAGATGAGATAGGTGCTCAGTCCTCCCACATTCACTGTACATGCATTAGCTACAAATATGCTGTCACTACTTTCACAGTAAATGCTGTGAAGCATTTTAAGACATGTTGACAGGCTTTATGGTCAACTCCATATCCTTATTCTCCCTTGCTCAGCATCCAATCCTGCCATTGTGAAGCACTCCAAGACACTATCCTGCATGAAAAGCACTATATAAATGCAAGTTGGTATTGTTGTTATACCAAATTAATGGATTATTAATATTATGATAATAAATGCTTTTGAAGCTGGATTTCTGCATTCACTTTCAAATTATTGATAAGGAAATATCAAAGTCCACACTTCGAACCAAAGTTATAATTAAGTAGTTTTAACAGGGTTATACTGCACTGTATATATTTTTTGCCTTTTAATGTTTATTAATAATTTGATAAACATTAATAACATCCCATGGAACAGTAATGGTGTTTCCCGCTACTGACATTACAATAATTTATTATTTGGATATCATTATAATATTAGTTATCCTGTGTAGCCTCCTTGTTGTGAACTTTTTCAAAGTATTAATCAAAGCTTCTCTTTTTCGCATTCTTATTTTATTTAGGACTACAGGTTGGATCCTATTTAATCAAGTTGGAAGTCCAAGTACAATATCCTGGATATTGTACCCCGTGAATTGATGGGAACTATGTTGAAGTTATAGTAAGATGTGGAGATGTCTAATCGTTTCAACCTGCAATTTATAAGCTGTGGTTTAAACTTCTGGAGACTGTGCTAACTGTGACAAATGCAAAGAGAAAGAAATGTCTGCATCAAACATTGGTCAGGAGAGTCTTGGCAGCAAGGAAAAGTGACAATTTCAGCAACACGGCACCAAAATGTTGCATCTTCAAAATGGAGCCAAGGAATGATTCCGAGCAGCATACAATAGATGTGAATTGTCAGAGTAAGTAATAAAGGAAGTTATGGATTCAAGCCCTGTGTCAGGCCTTGAAAATCATACAGTCTAAGGTGACACTCCAATGTAATGTGGGGGGCTGCTGTGTGCAATGTCAGATGTGCCATCCTTTGAATAAGACTTCAGCAAGGAGTATGTTGGAAAAGTCTAAGCAATATGTGATAAAGGTGCGAATGAGTGTTTCAGCAGCATTTGGTATGAGAACAGGACAGAAGCGGGCGGTGTGGCAGAGGTAAAGGAAAGTGGTCTTGGTGAGGGACCAGATGTGAGGGAGAAAGGAAAGCTGGGGAGTTTATTAGTTAAAAAAGCACTATGGATTGTCTTGAATGAGCTGTATCTAACTGATTCAAATTACATACCCATTAAGATTTACAAGTGGCTTGAAACTCATCTCCAAGTACATTATAAACAAATGTAAAGATACAAATATCATCTTCCTACAGATAACCTGTTTGGTCAGTTCACCGTTATTAATGCTGTACTAATATTCCCAACTCTCAGCTTTCTTTACATAGAGATCTTAAAATAAAAAGAATGTTGCTGGCTCATTTGGAAGAAATCTCATCTCTGGTCTCAGACAGTTGTGCGTTCAAGGTGTACATCAGGTAATAATAATAATCCTTGCATTTGACATAGTACCTTATCATGTCTTCAAAACATCTCAAAGCGCTGCACAGAATATACTGTAAAGTGAGGAGCAGGTATATACAACATGGAATTGTGAGGACTCAACTGGGACAGTAGAGATTTTGAAAAGCCACAAATTAGACAGAAAAATAAATCATCAGAAAACATTCCAATATAATAATAATACTTTTACAATACACTATATCCACTGCATTTCCCTTGTCTACTTGATTGGTTATATCATGAAAGAATTCAATAAAGTTAGTCAAACATGACCTCCCTTTCTTAAATCCATGCTGGCTGCTCTTAATTATATTCTGCATCTCCAGGTGGCTCCATCTTTTATTCTAGAGTCTAATATCTTGTCCATAACCAACATTAACCTGACTGGCCTGTAACTTCATCACCCTTTTTTAAAAATTGGTATTATATTGGCTTTTCTCCAGTCCTCTGGCATGATTCCTTTCTCTGCAGTTAATATATATATATATATATGTATACTAGAGCCTCAGCTATCTCCTCTCTAGTTTCCCTGAGGATTGTTGAGTGCAGTCCATCTGGGCAAGGTAACTTGTCCTCTTTAAGCTTGTGTAGTTATTTAATATGTCCCTTCTCTGTCTTATCCGTTGTGATTTTACACCCAGTCCCTTTTGTACTTACTAAATTTTCATTATCAGTTTCCTTTGTGAAAACTGAGGCAAAATATAGTATTCATTTAGTATTTGCGCCATTTCCTGATTATCTGCTGTGAGATTATCCCATTTTCCCTTAATGGTACTATTCCTACCTTAACCATTATTTTAGCTGACATATCTATGGGAACCCAGGCAAGATCAAAAATGAACGTAGCTGGGAAGCAACAACTCATTCCAGCACCTTGGAAAGGAAAGGTTGGAGATGGGGCGGTAATTGTTAAGTGCAGCGTGGAGTGTACCAGGGTTTTGTTTGAAGTTAGGCTAATATAGAGACGACGTATAATATAAGTCGTAATTCTGTTTTTTGTTTTGGTTAGCCGGGTGTATGACATACGCGGAAAACCATCACCATGCTTAAGAGTATCCAAAACACCCACACACAGAAATATAGATGTGGGGGTTGTTTTATGCATTTTCTACCATTTTCCCAAAGATAATAAAGAAACTTACTAACATACCTGTGTTTTGGATTGAGCAAAACAAAGAGGAAACAGAAAGAGAATATTACAAAACAATATAAAAAGAAATAGTAAGATGTTGTATAGGCATATTAGCAACAAAATAAATGTTTAAAGTAGGTACAGCACCATAAATAAGCTAAATTATGATTTATATGGTCTAATAAGTCTGATATTTGCAGGGTGGTTTCATTGTTTTATATTCAATTCTTGTAATTGTTGGTGATAAATGTAGAACTTACAGTGATATCTGCTCACAGATGTAGTTAGCATTTTGCTGTATGCCTCTATCTTCAGTGTGATTCTATCAAACTGTTTCTCTTTCCTGTCACCTTCAACCTGTCCTGAGTGATTTTAGTTACTTGTTGCGATCAAACTCCTCTGACAACGATCTGCTGATTGTATCGCTAGCTCTTCCCACATTTTGTGACACAATCTGGATTGTATTGCTTGTGGTCTGCTTTTCCATTTGGTAGCTGTGTAAATCCATTTAGATTTTTTTAAAAATCTATATGTGGCTGGTTTTGTTTAGATATTGATTATCACCTGTGGAGAATAACACTTAGATTTATTCCAAATATATTTTCTCATCGAAAGGTGCTTATTTTGTTAAAAATTTAAAACTCATTCTTTTACATTTACATTGGAGTCTGTAGCTCAGTGGTTAGAGCAATCGCTTTGCAAGCGAGAGACTTGGGTTTGATTCCCAGCAGGGCGAAACCTTGGGAAAGTTTCCTTACTCCACACTCCTGATAATAACAATCCCTCATAAAAACAGCAATAAATTGGTTATTAAATCCACAACTATTTGTGCTGCTTTGCGCAATTGGCTGCCGCATTTCGCCCACAAATATACAGTCAATTCACTTTACAGTCTATTCTGTGAAGCGCTTTGAGACGTCTAGAAGACGTGAAAAGCGCTATAACAAATGCAAGGATTATTATTATTATTATGAATACAGGAAATGATAGAAATATTTTGGTTCACTTTTCAACAAGGAAATTGATAAGAAAAATTGATAAGAATAGATAAGCAGAGTGCAACAAGATTAATGGGAAGTAAAACACCAGATAAATTAAACAAACTTGGAGAATATGTGACCTTGGCAAGATGGATTGCACGCAATGAGCCTTAAGGAAACAAGGGAGGAGATGGCTTTTTTTTTGTGTGTTTGTAATGTGTGTTTGTAAAAATAAACTTGTAGTTGTGTTTTTATCGGGCTTCTGTTTGTCAGGGTTTAACAAATTCATTTTTCAGGGTTTATTATTTGTTTGAGCTCGAAAAATTGTTTTTTTTTTAATGGCAGCATCAGAGCTGCTTGCACATATTGTGTGCTGAGGAAAGGTGAGGTGGTGGTGCCTTCACACAGTGACTCCCTCCTCTCATGTTTGTGAAAGATAGCATGTGTCAGGACAGGTTTTGCAGTGTTTATTCAATAAACAGCGATTTTTTGTGTATGTCTATTGGGGAGTTTTGGTTAAAACCA